AATGGTATAGATAGGTGATTGATAGATGATAGATGAATAATATAGATAGATGATTGATAGATATAGTTAGATGAATGATAGTGATAGATAGGGAGATAGATGATAGACAGATGAATGATATAGATAATGATAGATTGATAGATGATTGATGTTAGAGTGATAAGGTAGAGGCAATTAAGATATATATAGTATGGAGAGGAGCCAATTAAGAGATACACATGCACGCATATATACATATATATACATACCGGTATGTGGGTGTTTATGTGTTTGTGTATGTACTGTAGTGTGTATATATGTATATATATGTAAGTAAGTTTTTGGCTGGGTGTGTTGCAGAAAGGTTTACCTTAATAAAAGGGGAATAATTATTGGCTGAAACCCCCATATTTATTCCTGAGAAGGTTTTTGTGATAACCTTTTGTGTTTGATTTACACCCAGAAGACCTGCCATTATTGTTTTGGGTGGAGCCATGTGTTTACTCTCAAAACATACTGGGAGCCTTTTATTATAATTGTATTTATTATTTATAGCCAAAAGTCCTTCAGATGTTATTTTGGGTGAAACCACATGTTTACTCTTGAAACTGATACATTGGGAGCTTTTTATTATAATTGTACTTATTTATAGCCAGGAGATCTGTGATTTTGCGCTGTAACCATGTGTTTAATTCCAAGATTGATATGCCAGAAACTTTTTATGATTGAATGTTTTTTATGTACAGCCTGAAGACCTGTGTATTTGTTATTTTGAACTGAAACTATCTATTTATTCCTAAGATTGGCCCAGCAGAAACTTTTATGAGAATTGTGTTTATTTAGAGCTGGATGGTGTAGGGTGACTCCAGGCAGCTTAAATAAGACTGATAAAATGCAGAATGGAATGTATAGAATTGACTCTGAATTTGGGTAGTCAAGGCCCGTGTTTTGAAATTGCTTGCTAGCAAACTGTCAACGGATGGAGCTCTAACCTGGCCAAACTAAAGATCCCAGTAAGATAGTTGCTGGGGACTGGTCAAAATAAATTTACAACCTCTGGTCAAAATCTTCTCCCATGCACTGTCTCGGAGCAATCTCCATTTTCGCTCTCCTTGTTTGGTGTTAAACCTGCTTCTTTCTCCCTTACAGCCATGACCATGCAGTTCATCAGTCATCGTTTCCCAGAAGACCACGATCCCACCATTGGTGAGTGGGTCTGGGTGCTGCTTCACCCCTTTTTACTTAGGGGAGGCTTGTCTAGCTGGGTTTGGTGGGAGTTCCTGCCTATCTCAAATCCTCCTGTAAAAATGTTGGATTTCAGTTGACTGAAAGAGAAGAGGCTTTATAATCTATGAAAGAATTACAAGAAGTCCATCCTGGCTGTTTTGGCCTAGTCCTCTGGGAATTTTTTTTTTTTTGCTTCCTGTCTTCTTTTCTTGGCAAACCTCCTCTTGAGATTTCAAGCTGCACGGCCTTCAGTTGTTGTCTCAGCGACCGGGCTGAGAAGCCACTTCTGACATTGCACTCTTGATAAGGAAAATGCACTTGTCTGTGGATAAGTTGCGAGGAACAAATGACTTTTGTGCTCGATGCATCCCTGTGTAGGAGGAGCTAATGATGAACCCTGAATAAAGAAACCGAAACTTTAGGATTCAAGGAACTGTTAACTTTCTATTACAGCAACTCAGAAAATGTAGGGGGTTGGTACTTCTACACGTGCTCCTAGAATCACAAAATAAGATACCGCCAAAATGCCCGTAGAATGCAAACAATTGACTATTGTATTAAGATGCTGGGGACTCTTCCTCATTCATCAGTCTAATCGTGTCTAATCTCAAGGGTCAGGTGGGAAGAATCAGGACCGGATGCTCAGTTCCAGTTAAGATGATTTATTGCTCAGGCCTATACCCAAGAATCTAGTCAACTCACAGGCCAGCACTAAAGGGATGGTAGATAAGAGTTAAGGGAATTCAAAAGAGGTTGGACTTGGAGCATTTGTGGACATGTAAGGATTCTAGGCCAAGTTCTGTCTTGACTCTGCCCCCAGCTCTGCCTTCTCCTCTGACACAGCCCACCCTCACCATATCCATTTATGAAATAAAAATGGCATCTTGCAAGGTCAATTAAGCTGGCTGGTCTTCTCGGTTTAGCCAAATCCGTTTGTAATCCAGGCAGCAAAAGTTCCTGTTGATGCGTTCAGGAAAATCATACTTGCACAGTGCCCCCAAAGCCCTCTGCATCCCCCCCCCCCCAAAAAAAATTCATTAATCTTGAATGTGGACACCTATGGAAAAAATTTGAAGACCCTATTATCTGGCCTTTTCTGACTGCGTGTCTCCCTGTAGAGGATGCTTACAAAATGCGGATCCGGATTGACGACGAACCTGCTAATCTGGATATATTGGACACTGCAGGCCAGGTATTTGACAACCATGTAGCCTTTCCTGTCTTTCTCCCCCCCCCCCCCCCCCCAGGCTTTAGTGATTTCTCAACACTTCCACCTCTTGGGGTGGATGCATGTCATAGTTTGCATGCTTTGTATGGAAAACAATCTCTTAGTGAATTCCTGGTGGAGGCCAGAATTGAACTGGGCACTCGGCTTACATAGTTCGGCTGCTTCTTTTGTCACCGTCATTAAATGATATTTTTAAAAACTTATTATATTCTGGAAGCCCAGCTGTTTCCTGCACTTTGCCAGCCTCAAAAAAATCTTACAGGAAGAAGCTTGCTGAAAGCTCTTTGGCTGGCAACCAAAAAAAAAAAGAAACATATTTTCCCTTCCCACAGGCCGAATTCACTGCTATGAGAGACCAATACATGCGAGCCGGCGAGGGGTTTATTATCTGTTACTCCATCACGGACCGCCGAAGTTTTCATGAAGTCCGGGAATTTAAACAGCTCATCTACCGTGTCCGGCGTACAGATGAGACTCCGGTTGTTTTGGTCGGCAACAAGTCTGACCTGACTCAACTCAGGCAGGTAAAAAGACTTGAAACGTAGACGAGATTTACCAGTAGTCCTCGGCCTATGGCCACGATGTGAGCCCCAGATTTCTGTTGCGAAGCGAGACCTTAAGTGAATTTTATTCTCATTTTATGACCTTTCTTGCCACAGTTATTAATCAACGTGGTTCTTAAGTTAGTCACACGGTTGTTAAGTGAATCTGGCTTCCCCATTGACTTTGGCCGGTCAAAAGGTCGCAAATGGGGATCACGAGATCCCCGGGACCGTCATCAATACAACCCAAGTGTCTTGCGTTTTGATCACATGACCGTGGGGGATGCTTCAACTGTCGTCAGTGTGGAAAACGGCCCTAAGATACTTTTTTTCAGTGCCGTTGTAACTTTGAACGGTCACTAAATGAGTGTTGTAAGTCGAGGACTACCTGTACCATTTGTGCATCAGAGCAACATGGTTGGCATAAATCAGGTATTCCTAGCTGTTCTGGCACATAGATGTATCAAAATTCTTGAAAAGTCATTCTATTTCCAATTAAAATACTAGTGTCAAGACTCCGACATGCACCCCCATTCAGATCGTAAGTCTCTAGCCACATCACTCAAGAGTAAAAAAAAAAAATGATTTATTAGGAGTTGACATGTCGGCGTTTCCCGGTTGCAGCTGACTTGACACATCATTCATTTCCCCCTTTTCCCTGGTCTTCCTTCCACCCCCTGGATGTATATTCTGAAATGAGACACATCCACAGCCAAGAGTCACCAATCATGCTCTCCAGTAATAATCTTGCGTGCCAACAGCTTTGGCTGCCTAGCGATTATCTGAAGCATTTAAGGAATGCACTGCTTTCCCCTCCTCCCTTTCAGCTGGCAACTAAAAGGACCAAAGGAGTATTTTTTTAGTTGACAACTAGATTCTACGCCAGTTACTTTCTAGCCGTTTAGAACAACCTCACCAACAGCATCAGCTAGCACGTTGACTAAATGAGCTCACGTAAGTCGAGGACTGCCCTCACATTTTATTTCCCTCACTGTCCCTCCCCCCCCCCCACTCCCCTTGCATGCCCTTTCTTGCTCCAAGGTCTCCAAGGACGAAGGCTCGGCGCTGGCCCAGGAATTTGGCTGCCCCTTCTTCGAGACCTCCGCCGCCTTCCGCTACTACATCGACGACGTCTTCCACACCCTGGTCCGCGAAATCCGACGGAAGGAGAAGGAGATCGTCATGGCGCTGGAGAAGAAGTCCAAGCCGCGCCCGAGCATTTGGAAAGTCTTGAAATCCCCTTTCTGCAAGAAGAAAAACTCCGTCACCTGAAAACAACCCCCCCCCCTCCCCTCATCCCCCCCCCCCCCCCCCCCCAAGGCCCCCCACCCTAAAACCCGGTTTTAAAATTTTCGCGGGGGGGGGGGGCGTAAGGGGGTGCCGACGGGCCTCGTCGCAGCGAGGAACAACCGCGCAGCCTCTTTTAACTCTTCTTTTTTTAATTTTTTTTTTGCTGTGGCGTCTTGTTTCTCGTGCCGCCTCTTTGGTGACAGCCGCTTCCCTCTTTCCTGCCCTCATGTGGGAGCACCCAGAAAATGGAGCTAGGGATTCCATGGCAAAGTAAGAACGTCCCTGTGGTTTGCGCCACTTTTGAACAGGAGAAGGGAGCGGGAAGGGAACCTCGGAGGTCTTCTAGTCCAACCCCCTTGCTCAAGCAGGAAACAGGGAGTTAGTTACAGCTGCAAGGCCCCACAGCCATCCTGGGGGAGTTGTTTATTCGTCTTGCAGAAAAGTTGCATGGGATTTAAGGCGGGGGAGGATGTTCAGAAGTCGCAGTCGCGGATCCAAGTTGGAATGGGAACCATAAAAATGTCACAGGATTGGGATGATTCACGTCGGATTCCATCACTTTGGAGAAAGAGAGAGAGAGAGAGAAATGGTAGGAAGGGATGCGGAGAGGCAGTTAAGGGGACGTGATTAATTGGAGGTGTAAAGTTGTAGCATGGTACAGAGCAAGTGGTAAACTGAATTTTGGGAGGTGAGTTTGTAAGCCTCCGTTGGCAGAGAAGAGTGGTAAGGCGTTGACTCCTCTTGTGCGAAGACCGGGGTCAAATTTGTAGCGTTAACTCAACAAGGCGTGAGTTGGTTTGCAGTCTTGAGAAAGATTTTGCCTGCACTGAGCCAAAGGGGCCAATCTGCTTTTCTCAATTAAAGAATTTGGGTCAGGTTTTTTTTTCCATCCTGGAGTGCCTTGTGGATGGATCCCCCCACCCCCCAAAATGGAGTCCACAGGAATGAATAGGGAGGTTTGGCTAGAGAGGCTGGCAGGTGGAATGAGAGAGGCTCACCTGGAATTGGAAGAGTCTGAGTAAGGCCCTTAGTTGAAGGTAAGAGGTGTGTGTGTGTCTCAGAGGTCTTGAAATCCCCTCCCCCCCCAAAGTCAGTCTCTTAAATTTTGTGAACCTTGACAAAAGAACCTGCTTTAAATGGAATTAACTCTTTAAAAAAAAGGGGGTTTTTCCAGGCTGCGTGTCGGGTCTGGGTCCTTCCTTCCTGTTTTAGTAGCCATGTGACGTTTCTGGGGCCATTTTTTTACAAAGTGTTTGTAATTGTTCTGTGTGGTTTACAGGGAGTCAGGAAACGGAAGGCCTTGCCTAGTGTCCCTATTTAAAGAAGGAGAGAAAATCATGGAAACTGGGTTTTTATTTTATTTTATTACTTTCCTGAGAGACTGAATGAGCCTTAGATATTTCTCCTAAGTAAATTTTTAATGACGTTGGATTTTCAAATGTTACCGGTTATAGTGTTTGATATACATATGTATTTATAGACTCTGAGGAACTTGGTAGTTGGAGAAGAGGAATATTGCATTCCATTTAGCAAGAGCTATTTTTGAATGTATTTTATTGACTGTAGCAATATACGGTATATTTAAAATTAGTAAATTAATGTTACGAACAATGCTGGATACTTTCCATAGCTATTAATTTAGAAGCAGATTAAACCTAATTTTAATGTTTATATGATCACATAACAGTATAATGTGGTAGATACATCAGGTTTTTTTTTGTTTTTTTTAAAAAAAGAGATTACAGTAGTTCAGGGTAAATAACATTGCTAACTTCTGTGGCCGAAGGTGTCACAATTTCAGTTCTGTGTTGTTTTTACTTTTCAAGTTCTCATTCCAGAAAAAAAATAAATGTATGACTTGAAGCAAGAATGAATTGTAGTGGATTCAAAGCCTGCTGTTTAAGCCAAATTTTAAAAATAAAAAAAGCAGCTTTCTTAATTTGTGCCTTAGCAGAATTCATTATTTTGTGGTGCTAGTAGTGAAATCTTGTTTTTTCTTTCTTTCCTAGCATGATTACATCTGAATTTTAAGCACTTTCTTTTGACACAATTTCTGTCTTTGGTTCACATATATATTGCACTTGATACAATAAATATTTTTTTAAGCCTTAGCTTCTGTTTCTTTAACTTGAAAGTTGACGACAAAAATGTATGTTAACGCTGGGCGTGAAAGAGAGTGGAAGAAGAATTGTGTAATTGTGAGTTGCCAATCCTGGAAATCGACACAGCAACAAGTTTAAAATTAAAACTCAAGTATCAACCATTCATTTGCCACAAAAAATTCTGTAATCCTTATAATACAGGAGTCTGCAACCTTTAATAGACTCCTTGGGCAGTGGTTTTTTTTTTTTTTTTTACAATTTTTGGTCAGCTATATAGGGAGTCCTCAACTTATGACCATAATTGAGCCCAAAATTTCTGTTGCTAAGTGAGACTTGTTGAGTTTTACCCCATTTTACAACCTTCCTTGCCACTGTTGTTAAGTGAATCACTGCAGTTCTTAAGTTAGTAATCCAGTTGTTAAAGTGAACCTGGTTTCCCCATTGAGTTTGTCAGAAGGTCGCAAAAAGGGATCACACGGCCCCCGGAATACTGAAACTGTCACAAATACGAGTCAGTCGCCAAACTTCCTGAATTTCGATCATGTGACAACGGAGACGCTGCCATAGTTGTGTGAAAACAGATGTAGGTTGCTTTTTTCAGTGTTGTAGTTTTGGTTGCTAAATGAACCGTTCTAAGTCGAGGACTAACTACTATATGGGAGATTAATTTTGTGCATCAGAGGAACATCATCGGGATAAATCGAATATTCCTGATTGTCCCAGCAGATACATCGAAATTCTTGAAAAGTAATGAATTATAGGGAGGCTCCTGGGTGCTTGATAACTATAAAGTTCATGATAACATAAAATATAGTTAATCATATTTCAATCTAAGCTGCTAGAATCTACGCCAGTCGATTTCTTGGTAGTTGGCTGTTTAGCACAATCTCACAAAGGCTGTCATGAGCTAGGCCAAATTATTTTAAAAACATTAAATGAAAAAAAATGTATTTTGGGGGGGAATCAACGACATCCAATGCAGGAAGCATGTCCTGAGTTAAAAGTGTGTGTGCTTGTCTTTGTGTGTACGTGTGCATAAACAGCCACCAATCCAGTTGTTTTCTATTGCTCATATTCAGTGATAGATAGATAGATAGATAGATAGATAATAAGATAGATGATAGATACTGTAGGTAGGTAGGTAGATACTGTAGATAGATGATATTGTAGATAGATTATAGTGTAGATAGATAATAGATGATTAGATGATAAGATAGATGATAGATACTGTAGGTAGGTAGATAAATAGATTGATAGATAGTGTAGATAGATGATACTGTAGATATAGTGCAGATTGATGATAGATGATAGTGTAGATAGATTATAAGATGATTAGATAGATGATAAAATAGATACTGTTAATTAGGTAGGTACTGTAGATAATACAATAAATGATAGATTAGGTAGGTAGGTTGATCGATAGATACTGTAGAGAAGATGATAGTGTAAATAGATTATAAAATAGATGATTAGATAGATAAATGATAGATACTGTAGGTAGGTAGATACTGTAAATAGATGATAGACATAGATACACTAAATGATACTGTAGGTAGGTAGATAAATAGATATATACTGTAGATAGATGATAAGATACTGTAGATATAGTGTAGATAGATGATAGTGTAGGTTAAGATAGATGATGATTAGATAGATGATAAGATACATAATAGATACTGTAGATAGAGACTGCAGATGGATTATAGTGTAGATAGATGATAGTATAGATAGATAAGATAGATGATTAGATAAATACTGTAGATAGGTAGATACTGTAGATAGACATAGATACAATAGATGATAGATACTGTAGGTAGGTAGATTAATAGATACTGTAGATAGTGTAGATAGATGATAGTTTAGATGATAAGATAGGCAGGCAGGCAGGCAGGCACTGTAAGATGGATGGATGGATGGATGGATGGATGGATAGATAGATAGATAGATAGATAGATAGATAGATAGATAGATAGATAGATAGATAATTTTAACCGAAGAGGGCAGAGACACCCCCTTGGCCCTTCTGTTTTCCTTACAGCCTTGCTGGCAAAGAAAACCAAAAACCTTTGTTGGCTTAAAAAGCTCAGGCTTTTTGCTCGGAGTGGAGAAGAAAACAAACCTTTCCCCATCTCTCCTGGGAGTTTGGTGGCTTTTGTCATGGAGGTGGCGGCGGCTGGCAAAGCAGCGGAAGGATGAGGTAATGGTTTTGTTGTGAGGCTGCGCGCCGGACGGGGGGGGGGGGGGGGAGACGACCCACTGAGTGGGAGATGCTTTTGTGATGGGCAGAATTGCCAAGGCTGCTAAAGGCCGCTTGGTGGCACAGCCGGGAGGCGAGCTTGCAAAACAAGACCCATGGTTTAAGCCACCTCCTTGCAACAGCGGGGAAAAAAATACCTGGGAAGGTTTAGCGGGCAGAGCAGGGAAAATAATAGTAAAGCCAACTTGGTCCCTGTTTTAGCATTAACAAAGGAGACGGAAGCCTCCCTCCTGTTTTATCTTCCCCGCAACCCTAAAGAGAATTAATTTCCATTTTTTTAAAAAAAAAAATCTTTGTTTCGGTAGCGAAGAAGCTTCTTGGGTGAATAGAATAGCAGAATTGGAAGGGACCTTGGAGGTCTTCTAGTCCAACCCACAATGCTCAGGAAGGAAACCCTTCTACGCCAGACGAGAAGCGAAAACATCTTCCAAGGGGAAAAAAAATCCCAAACTTTGGGACATTCCGTTTTAGTGTTTCAGAAATTATGTATTTTTTGTGTGGATGTTACATGTTTTAATGCTGGAAGCCCGAGTCCAGAGTCCTTTCACGACAAGACGGGTGACAAGTCACAGGTAATAAACACAGTCTGACTTACGACGCCATGGAGCCCCACATTGATGTGAGAAATGTGTGAAGTGCGTTTTTGCCCTTAACGATTTTCCTTGCCACCTTTGTTAAGGGAATCCCTGCAGTTGTGAAATTAGCAACGCCGTCATTAAGTGAACCTGGTTCCCCCGCTGACTGTCAGGTCACAAACGAGAGGTCATGGACGCTGCAACTGTCATAAATGAGGACGTTGCAACCGTCATAATTACGAGTCAGTGGCCCAGCATGTCAGCATTCCAGCAATCCTCCATTCCAACCGATAACTATCCCAGGGCAGTAGCTCTTTTGAATTCTGTATAGTGCAGTGTTGGTGAGGTGTCAGGGATTTTCGGTTCAATGTGTGAAGGATGTGCGTTTGTGTTTATTTTCATGGTCATGATGTGCACTGAAGATGGTGTTTGATTTCGTTGTACGAGGTGCAGTGACAAGTTAACTAATTAACTAACCTAACTCCCCGTTAGAGGAGAGTATTTGGATAATAACTGGCACATCTGTGGAATCCTCAATCTGAAAGTTTCGGGCTTCCTTGCAAAAGTCAAAACTACAAATCCATCCCTCCCTTAGCCATCATCACATCACGTGGACCAATCACCATCCGTCCCAAAGTAAGATTTCCATTTCACTATGTGCCACACTACATGACCTTGAACCAGCAAAATGATTTTATTTTGTCTTTAGATATACTCAAATAAATTCCTCCCTCCCACTTTCCCAGGCTCAATTGTGGCCGCATGGGAGCATCGAATCTCAATATGACTTCCAAAGCTGACACGGCGTCTGAATTTTGATCACGTGACTGGGGGGGTCGTAAGTGTGGAAAAAATGGTCACAAGTCACATGTTTCAGTGCCGTTGCAGCAGCCACTAAATCAACTCCTGTAAGTCGAGGACGGCCTATAAATTTTTTGAGTCAAATCGTTACCGGTTTACAAACTAGAATTTTTCATTTGGCACGATGGCACGAGAATTGCAAACTTGGGCACATTTTGAACTGCTAAATTCAACGACCACAACCGACAAATTGTAAAGTGACTCCCATCTTTTATTTTGAATGTCCGGGTGTGCATTAAAACAATATTGACGTTACACATAGCGTTACATGTTGGTTAGGTTAGTATAACAGCATTAATGCGGTTGTACATGGCTCAACTTTTCTCCCATTTTTTTCCGGGGGGTTTTTCTCTCGTTTTGACACGAAAGTTGTAACTTCGTTTGTAAGCTCCTTTTTAATTTTGTTTTTCTAAATCATTTTTTACAACAGACACGAGGTAGAAAGAAAAGGAGGAAGAGGGGGGGGGGGGGGGGAGAAGAAGAACTGGATGACAACCGGGGAAAATAAAAGAGGAAAAAAAAATGATTTCACATCTCGGGGGAAATTTTATGGTAAAGCAGCTTTCACGAAAAGAATTCCCATGTATTTCTGGCGATGGTGGCAGTTTGATTTATGATTCTATTTTTCTTAAAAAAAAAAAAAATCACCCTTGGTTTTTCCATTACTCCTGTGGAGAAATAGAACTGTTTCCATAGGCCTGGAAACACACGGGTGGGAACCATGGGTCCTTCTGCATCACAACTCCCATCGGCCTTGTCGATTTGGCATGCCAAGAGGGGGTCCAAGCGAAACCAAGGCTCCACGCCCCTGAAAATAACCCTAACTCTATTTATACCCTGAGCACTTTTCCTTAAGAACTATTCCAAGCATTTCTTTTTTCTGAAAGGAAAAAAAAAAAGCCGCATCTTTTGCTTCTGAGTGCAAAATTAAAATTAGGAAAAAAACCAAAAACAAACAAACACCCTCCTTCAATTGAAAGTTTATTCAGCGATTAAAAGCTCACAGAAATTTTTCCTAGCCCCCAAAATTTGCTGATAACATC